AGATCCTCGGAAGAGCTATGAAGACCCTCCTGAATGTAGACACCCTCAGCTCACATGCTCAGCGCCAGAGATTCAGGCATTCCCGCTACCAGGAGGCCAAGGGACCCAAGAGGTTTGCAGCCGACTCCACGCCTTTGCAAGGAGTGGCTGGAGCCAGAGCGACACACCGAGGCTCAGATCCTGGACCTGGTAGTCCTGGAGCAATCCTGGCTGTCCTCCCCCGGAGATGGAGAACTGGGTGAAGGATCAGGGAGCGGAGACCAGTTCCCAGGCGGTGGCCCTGGCCAAAGGTTTCCTCCTGAGCCAGCAGAGGAGAAGCAGCAGCAGGTGAGACAGTTTCATCCTGGTAGCACACAGAAATCCGCGGTGGCTGGTGAATCTGAGTGTGGTGTCTCTTAAAAGGCGAAAGTGGCTCTTGGGTGCAGAAGGTTCTGGGTTCGATCTCCAGGAGGGGCTGGGAAATCGTCCCTGCCTGAAACCTGGAGCAGGGGTGGGGGTGGAATTGCATTTGCACATGTGGCAACACATGGTAAACTTAAAGCCTCTACTGTTAGAAAATAATTCCACTTGTGATGCATACGTACAAGCAGTGCAATGTCCGCATTTGAATAAACCTTGTGGAGCTTGTGGTCAAGGTCTGGTGTGTAGAGGTGTGTGGTAAGTCAGTATGTACTAGCATATCTCTAAGTGATCTGATCGGTCATTTATCAAAGCAGGGAAAGACCTCACAGCCTGGAATATTCAATCTCACTGGGCAAAAGTCATATACCACTTGAATCATGGGAAAGATTTTAAAATTCACAGCATGCAGTTCATGAAAATAAAATTCTATGAAGATGATGTACCGATGGTATTTCACTCCAGTAAGCTTGCTAAAATGTATAAGATACCTCTAATTTATGCTGGAAATGTAAGGATATGGAAAGTCCTTTTTTTCTTTTTTCATATGTCGTGGACATGTAAAAAAGTAAAGGGCTTCTGGAAATTATAAAAAATGAACTTAAAAAAATTTTAAAATTACGTTTGTTAAAAAATCAGAGGCCTTTTTTTTAGGCGACCTTCCAGCCATCTGCTCTAGGGAACCACCCACTACTGAGCCCTCACTCTTATCTGGATTGAGCTTCAATTTGGTTGGCTTTCATCCAGTCCATTACCGAGGCAAGACACTGGCGGGAGAGGGTGCTCAGGGGTGTTGGGAGTAGTAATAGTAATAGTAATAGTATTAGCCTGTCTGTATAAGGCCTCAACCACTCTTGTAATTTTAATGTGAAGTTGGCTTGTTTCTCCTTTTTTCTTATAACGTCTTCTGCCCAGAACTCCTCTTGCAGAAACTGCTGTATTTAACTGAAACACAAATGTTTTAAAATGTGTGTGGTTTGGGGGGGTGTTATTGGGTTGATTTTGTTTATGTTTTTGATTATGTACTTTGAGTTTTTATATTGCAATTTTATCCTGTGAACTGCCCTAAGGCCTGTGGGTATAGGGAGGTATACAATTTTAATAAAAAATAATAAAATCAGGCCAGATGAAAATTATTACAAGTTCCAGGTGCAGCCCCAGCAGAAGGTTTCCCAATGCTTAAGGGTTTGCCTTGACCCCAAGCCCTATGGGGAGCCCAAGGAAGGTCCCCCACCTGCCCAAGTTGGGCTGCAGGGAGGAGAGCAGGAGAAAGATCTGCCCTTCCATTGGGAAAAGATTCCTATCCCCATACAAAGGGGGAAAGCCCTATAAATGCATTATTTTAGCGGAATTATATACAGAATGCATTCATTGTGGCAAATGTAAATATTTGGGGAAATACCCTTTGCAAAAGCGTGGGCATTAGGCGAGATCTTCACCAAAAATGCTGAATAATTTTCAAGAGGTCTTTAAAAATAATAACGTGAAAATCTGGATAAATTGACGACAAAAGGAGACGCAGAAAAAAACTGACATTGAAACGCTTTGCCTAGTAGGGGTTTTTTTAATCCCTCCCCACAACTCCCTCCAACTGCACCCCCAGTCTCTCCCCCAGTTATAATACATAATAATATGACGCACCTCCAGCGCATCCGCGAGGAAGGACAGCCGCCGCCATGTTCGGCATCTTCCCCCCAAAAGCAAGATAGGAAGCGGAAGCTGCTATTCTCCCGACAGCCTTTTTCCCCTCTTCTCTAGGAATCTCAGCTCTGTCGCCGCTGCTCTTAACCGTTTCGGAGCCGAGCGGCAGGAGCCTCTGGGCTTCTCCGGGCAAAGAGCGAGGAGAGGCGCTGGTCTCGCCTCCGGAAAGCCCCGCTGCATCAGCTGCATGGGAGCCCCAGATAGTTTTTCTAAACTATTAATTTTTTTTTATTATTTTCAATTTTCAAAATAACATTTTTCCAAATTTGCCATAAATGTCTTCCCCCCGGCCCCCCTAGTTTCCGCCCCCTTTATTCTCCTTGTATATAATTATATTTCTCCAATTAATTTCAACTTATTTTTCCCCTCTAATTCTATTCTTGGTTCATAAATGTTACATCAAACCTGCTAATGTTTTTGACGTTTTTACAGATTCTCTAAAGTAGTCTATAAAGTTTTCCCCATTCTTGATTGATTTTTTTCTCATCTTGGTGCCTGATCTTTACGGAAAATTTAGCCATTTAGCCATAGTCAATCATCTTTCCATTCTTCTTTCTTTTGGGACCTTTTCTTCTTTCCACATCTGGGCTAGTAGCATCTGGCTGCTGTAGTCGCATAAATGGTCTCCTTTGCTTCCTTGGCAATTCTCCTATTACACCTAGTAAAAAAGCCTCTGGTTTTTTAAAACAGATTTTAATTTTAAGAATTTTAAAAGTTCATTGTATATCATTTCCCAGAAGCCCTTTACTTTTTTACACGTCCACCACATATGAAAAAATAGTTCCTTCCTTATCCTTACATTTCCAGCATAAATATATCTTTATACATTTTACCAAGCTTTACTGGAGTCAAATACCATCAGTACATCTTCATATAATTTTCTTTTAATGAACTACAAGCCGTGAATTTTAAAATCTCTTTCCACAGCTTTTCCTATGATTCAAGTGGTATATTATAACCTGTCTTTTGCCCAGTGTATCATTACAGCTTTAACCTCTTCATCTTTCGTCTCCCATTCCAACAGTGGTTTGTACATTCTTGATAACAATTTCTCATTATTTTCTAATAATTCATTTTTGAACTTTGAGAATTCCTTCCCAAAGTCCTTCTGTCACCTTTGAATATGTCATTTATTTGGCACTATTGTAACCAACCTGTTAACAGAGCTTTTTTATCCTCATATTCTTTACCTTTAATTTGTTTTCTACTTCTGTTAACAGATCTTTGTATGTTGCCCAGTTTCGTGTTTACCTCTTTTTACAGATATGGTTTCTAATGGGGAAAGCCACAAAGGTGTCTTGTTCTCTAATAAATTCTTATATTTGTCCCATACTTGGTAAATTGATTTCCTTATAATGTGGTTCAGGAATCCCTTGTGCACCTTTCTTTCTCATACCAAAATTAAGCATGCTAACTAAATCTATTACCACGTCCTTCCAGATCTGATACTTCAGTATTGTTTAACAGTATCCATTAGCCAATCACGTGCAGCCCATTGTGTAAATAATGTATATAAAGTAGATATTGTGGGGGAACATTCATTCCTCCTCACCACTATGAGCTGAATAAAGAGCATGAAATCCACTCTCGACTCCGAGTATATTTCACACCTTATAAACAGTAAAAGAACAATTCTGCATTTGTTATCTTTTTCTGTTCTTCCTTTGAAAAAACAAAACAAAAAATCAGTCCCTGGGGAGATGTTCCATGATGATTTAAAAAAGCACTTTATGTACCATTTTAAAAGCACTTTATGTACCATTTATTTTGGTTGTGCATCTCACAAGAGTCGTGGAGCTCTGCTGCCGCCAATTAACCATGTTTTCCAAGTCCTGGGGAGGGACAAGCCCCGCTCTCTGACCCCTGGTCACCTTCCTCTCTGTTTTCAGAGACTTCACATCCACGTTGAAGTGTCTCCTCTGCTCTTCGGGGCTGGAAACTTCCCTCCCCCCCCCCAAAGGGATAAATGAGATTTTCCAGAAGTTGTACTTTGCACCCAGTGGTCCCAACTCCACCTTCAGAAAAGGGCAACCCAAATTATCGAGGGGATGGAGGAACTCCGCTGTGCAGAAAGGTCGCGGAATTGGGAACTTTTTAGTTTAGAGAAAAAGCAAGTAAGAAGTGACACGATTATAAAATTGTGCATTGTGTGGAGAAAGTAGGTAGAGAAAAGCTTTTTATTTCTCCTAGCGCTAGAATTCGGGGGCGTCACAGGAAGCTGAATGGTGGAAGAGTCAGGATATATAAAAGAAACCCTTCGCACAGTGAGGAATTAAGCTATGGAACTCACTGCCACAAGAGGCAGCAATGGACTGCTGTAATAGAGGATTTGAGGAACCATTAAGGAGTACTCTTTGGGTTCAGTCAGTCAACCGGCTTGTAAACTATGCTGTTTTCAATGTGCATTTTATAGTTGGCTTCACTTAGCAATGTTTTCTTTTGAAATGTTCAAGTTGTTGTTGTTGTTTGTTAACTTTGTGTTAAATATGTATTCTGTAGTCGACCTCCTTTGTAATGTTTTATTTTGAAATATTTTAAGATAATATTTTAGTTTCCTGTTAAATATGTTGCTTTGACTGTATACTTTATATTTGACATTCTTCAGAAATGTTTGATTCTAGATTGTTTTATTGATGTTAAATATGCAATAAACTGCTTTGAGATTTTTTTAAAAAATATCAAGCGGTACAGAAATAATAATAATAATAATAATAATAATAATAATAATAATAATTTAATTTGGGGGGAAGTCTAGATGGCATCAGTGGACCTCACTGCTCTCCCTTGTCAGTACTCCCTCTCTCCTTATCCCCCAAACTTGCTGGGCCCAATTTCCCTAATGGCAGAGGGGCTAGCAGCTTGGCTCCCTCTCCTTGCTGCTTCCACACATTTGGAGAGGGCATACACCAAACATTTCTAAGATTTAATCCCTGTATGAGTTCTTTGATGCGACTTAAGGGAGCTACTCCGACTGAAGCTCCTTCCACACTCTAAACATGTATACGGTTTCTCTCCTGTATGAGTTCTTTCATGTAACTTAAGGGAGCTACTACACCGGAAGCTTTTTCCACACTCCGAACATGTATACGGTTTCTCCCCTGTATGAGTTCGTTGATGCAACGTGAGTTGGCTACCGCGACAGAAGCTCTTCCCACACTCCAAACATTTATAAGGTTTCTCTCCCGTGTGCAATCTTTGATGCAAGGTAAGGCTGCAACTGTAGCTGAAGCTCTTTCCACACTCCAAACATGTATATTGTTTCTCCCCTGTATGAACTCTTTCATGCGAGGAAAGGTAGTCAATGCGACTGAAGCTCTTGCCACATTGCCAGCATTTATAAGGTTTGCTGCCTCGATGAGTTTGTTGATGTCTAGAAAGCCCATTGCTGCGAGTGAAGCTCATTCCACACTCCAAACACGTATGCAGTTTCTCCCCTGTATGAGTTCTTTGATGCGACTTAAGTGCGCTACTCTGACTGAAGCTCCTTCCACACTCTGAACATGTATACGGTTTCTCCCCTGTATGAGATCTTTGATGCGAGGTAAGGGTACCATTGTCACTGAAACTCTTTCCACACTCCGAACATGTATACGGTTTCTCCCCTGTATGAGTTCTTTGATGCGAGGTAAGGGCACCACAGTGACTGTAGCTCTTTCCACACTCTGAACATTTATAAGGTTTCTCTCCTGTATGAGTTCGTAGATGCAAGGTGAGGGAACTACTCTGACTGAAGCTCTTTCCACACTCCAAGCATTTATACGGTTTCTCCCCTGTATGAGTTCGTTGATGCAACATAAGGCTGTTCCTCCAAATAAAGCTCTTTCCACACTCGGAACATGTATACGGTTTCTCCCCTGTATGAGTTCTTTGATGCCTAGTAAGCTGGCCACATTGACTGAAGCTCTTTCCACACTCGGAACAAGTAAAAGGTTTCTCTCCTGTGTGTACTCTTTGATGTAAAGTAAGAGCTGAGCGACTACCCAATCTCTTTCCACACACTGTGCATTCATGCTTTTTCTCCTCTCTGGGAATTTGGTTTTCACCATCCTGAGACATACAAGAGTCACCCTCCGGCTTCTGCTTTCGTCTCCCCTCTCGCCTGCTGCCTCCATCTTGAACCCTCAGCTTCCTTTGCTCTTTCGATCCTTTTGGTGACACTTCTGATTGTTCCCCTTCTGCCAGCATCCCGTCAACATCTCCTGATGGAATAAAAAGGCAAACTGATGAAATGCTAAAGGAACGTCTTCACCCCAATCATTCAGTCAGGACACAGAGATCCAGGTTCCAAGGGCCTTGTGGCAGTTCCCTCCCTGTGAGAAGGAAGTTGCAGGGAACGAGGCAGAGGGCCTTCTCGGTAGTGGTGCCCACCCTGTGGATTGCCCTCTTGTGAGATGTCAGATAACTATACAACTTTTAGAAGACAACTGAAGGCAGCCATGTAGAGGGAAGTTTTTTTTGTTTTATTATGCTTTTATATTTGTTAGAAGCCAGCTAGATTGGCTGGGGCAACCCAGTCAGATCCATGGGGGTACAAATAATGAAAGCATTAATATGGGATTATTATTTACTGATATGGTATTATTATTTATTGAGTTTATATACTGCCCTACACCCGGAGGACTCAGCATGGTTCACAGAAAAGATCACATCATATATAATCAGAATAAAACCCAACCCAATAACACCCCCCAAAAAAAGAGCCACGTTTGAAAAAGACTATACGATGTCAAACATATCAAGCAAAAGCCTGGTTAAAAGGAACATGTTTGCATGGCACCTAAAGGCGTATATCCCTTCATGGATCACTGCCTTGTCGTGGTGAAGGAGCTTGAATAAGTCAGAGAAGCTATGACCTATGCCATGCAGGGTCGCCCAAGACAGACAGGTCAGCCGAGAGTTTAGACTAAATGTGATCCACCTGGTGAAGAAACTGGCAACCCACTCCAGTATTATGCCATGAAATCTCCATGGACATAAAAAAGGAGAAGCTTTGAGAGGAAAGTGAGTTTCCAAGGCATGCTCTGATTCATGGGGAGTATAAGGAAGGCGCCAGGTGAACTTCCCTGGGGAGAGCATTCCACAGACAGGGAGCCACTGCAGAGAAGGCCCTGTTCTCGTGTTGCCACCCTCCGGACCCCCTGAGGAGCAGGCCCACAAAGGAGGACCTCAGGATCCAGCCAGGTTCATATGGAAAGAAGCAGCCCTTGAAGTATTGAGGTGGTATTGTGATCCTGAGCCATTTAAGGCTTTATAGGTCAATACCAGCACCTTGAATTGAGCCCGGAAACTAATTGGTAGCAACTTGGCGCTGAATTCTGCACTAGCTGAAGTTTCCAAACTGTCTTCAGAGGCAGCCCTACGTATAACGCATATCTATATCTAACCTTGAAGTTACCAGAGCATAGACAACGGTAGATAGGCTATCCCTGTCCAGATAGGGGTGTAGCTGGGCCACCAGCCAAAGCTGATGGAAGGCACTCCAGGCCATCTGAGCCTCGAGCAACAGCAAAGGATCCAGGAGAACCCCCAAGCTATGAACCTGCTCCTTCAGAGGAAGTGTAATCCCATCTAGAGCAGGCGACCTTCCAGCCATCTGCTCTAGGGAACCACCCACTAACTGAGCCTCACTCTTATCTGGATTGAGCTTCAATTTGTTGGCTTTCATCCAGTCCATTACCGAGGCAAGACACTGGCGGGAGAGGGTGCTCAGGGGTGTTGGGAGTAGTAATAGTAATAGTAATAGTATTAGCCTGTCTGTATAAGGCCTCAGCCACACTTGTAATTTTAATGTGAAGTTGCTTGTTTCTCCTGTTTTTTTTAACGTCTTCTGCCCAGAACTCCTCTTGCAGAAACTGCTGTATTTAATTGAAACACAAATGTTTTAAAATGTGTGTCGTTTGGGGGGGTGTTATTGGGTTGATTTTGTTTATGTTTTGATTATGTACTTTGAGGTTTTTATGTTGCAATTTTATCCTGTGAACTGCCCTAAGGCCTGTGGGTACAGGGAGGTATACAATTTTAATAAAATATAATAATATCAGGCCGGATAAAAATTATTACAAGTCCCAGGGGCAGCCCCAGCAGGTGGTTTCCCAATGCGTAAGGGTTTGCCTTGACCCCAAGCCCTATGGGGAGCCCAAGGAAGGTCCCCCACCTGCCCAAGTTGGGCTGCAGGGAGGAGAGCAGGAGAAAGATCTGCCCTTCCATTGGGAAAAGATGTCCTACCCCCATACAAAGGGGGAAAGCCCTATAAATGCATTATTTTAGCGGAATTATATACAGAATACATTAATTATGGCAAATGTAAATATTTGGGGAAATACCCTTTGCAAAAGCGTGGGTATTAGGAGAAATCTGCACCAAAATGCTGACCAATTTTCAAGAGGTCTTTAAAAATAATAACCTGAAATCAATAGATTTTATTGCGTTAGCCGTGTGGCCATAGCATGATGTACATAGAAATAACAACATAAAATGGGGATGGGAAGATAAAGGTAGATATCCTTCCTGGGCGAGTACTTAAAGAAAGGGGGGGGAAAGGGGGGATAACAAAAGGGACAGGGGATTTAAAACATCGAGTGACAGATTAGTACAAAAACAGAAAGACAAAAAACTGCTGAGGCTGGCGGAGGATCATTAAAGGGTCCTTCGGCTCCTCAGATTTGTCCTAGCTCCATTGTCCTTGTATAATAAGGCTACTTGGAACTTCGTTCAGTTGTGCGGCATATCGACTGCAGCTGTGGTGTTAAAGAAGAAGTTAGTGCCGCTTTCCTCTTCATCACACTGAGCAGGAAGTTAGCTGTCATCTCGGTAATCCAACAATCAGAATCCTGCAAAAAAAAGGGACACTATCCAGGGCTGGATTGGGAGATGAAGCTTGTTCACGAGAGGAGTTAAAAACCGAGATCTTTCATCTGTCCAGTTGGGACAGAAGAGCATTACATGTTCCATAGTCTCCAGAGCCGTGTCATTACAGGTGCATGTTCTATTTGCGATGGGAACTCTGGAATAACGACCCGACAGAACTGCTGTAGGAAAACAGTTGAGACGGGCACAGGTAAAGGCCCTTCGCTTAGCCTCCAAAGAAATTGTGAAGCAGTATAGAGGGATCCCTTCAGGGGGTGGAATAGCTAGGGCTAGGCCTGAACACGGCCCTCTTGCATGGGCAGCTGTATAACCTGAAAATCTGGATAAATTGACGACGAGAAAAAGGAGACGCAGAAAAAAACTGACATTGAAACGCTTTGCCTAGTAGGGGTTTTTTTAATCCGTCCCCACAACTCTCTCCAGCTGCACCCCCAGTCTCTCCCCCAGTTATAATACATAATAATATGACGCACCTCCAGCGCATCCGCGAGGAAGGACAGCCGCCGCCATGTTCGGCATCTTCCCCGGGGAAGCTCCTATTTTCCCGACAGCCTTTTCCCCCTCTTCTCTAGGAATCTCAGCTCTGTCGCCGCTGCTCTTAACCGTTTCGGAGCCGAGCGGCAGGAGCCTCTGGGAGTCTCCGGGCAAAGAGCGAGGAGAGGCGCTGGTCTCGCCTCTGGAAAGCCCCGCTGGATCAGCTGCACGGGCGCCCCAAATCGTTTTCTAAATTATTTTAAAAATATCTATATTTTTTATTTTCAATTTTCAAAATAACATTTTTCCAAATTTGCCATAAATGTCTTCCCCCCGGGCGCCCCAAATAGTTTTCTAAATTATTTTAAAAATATCTATATTTTTTATTTTCAATTTTCAAAATAACATTTTTCCAAATTTGCCATAAATGTCTTCCCCCCCGGCCCCCCTAGTTTCCGTCCCCCCCTTTATTCTCCTTGCATATAATTATATTTCTCCAATTAATTTCAACTTCTTTTCCCCCTCCTAATTCTATTCTTAGTTCAAACCTGCTAATGTTTTGCCTCTTTTACAGTGTTATTTAAACGTGTCTATTGAGTTTTCCCATTCTAGATTGAATTTTTTCTCATCTTGGTGCCTGATCTTCACGGAAAGTTTAGCCATTTCGGCAGTCAGTCATCTTAGTTATCCATTCTTCTTTCGTTGGGACCTTTTAATCTTTCCACACCTGTTTCTTCTGCTTCTTAATCTCTTCCTTTATGCCTATCAGTTCTGAAGACATTACTGAATGAAAGCATCATATAGCATTTTGTGTTTAACCATGTAGTAAATAATAATAATAATAATAATAATAATAATAATAATAATAATAATAATAATAATTGTATACCCCACCCATCTGGCTGAGTTTCCCCAGCCACGCTGGGTGGCTTCCAATCATGTGTTAAAAACAATACAGCATTAAATATTAAAAACTTCCCTAAACAGGGCTGCCTTCAGATGTCTTTTAAAGATAAGATAGCTACTTATTTCCTTCACATCTGAAGGGAGGGCGTTCCACAGGGCGGGCGCCACTACCAAGAAGGCCCTCTGTCTGGTTCCCTGTAACCTCACTTCTCGCAACGAGTGAACTGCCAGAAAGAATAAATGAGCATCTCCGACCCCATCATGCTGCTGCTGCTGCTCTGAGTGAGTGCTGGGAGGACCGCTCCCTTTCCTGCCAACTCCATCTGGCCTAGGGAGTGGGGCCTGCACTCACCGCCACAGTTTAGAGGCCTGAGCAGCTCCCTGCAGCAAGTGACAAAATGGTTTTAAATGTTTTAAGTGCTTTTCATTTGCTACACTTTAAATGGTGGTTGTTGTTTTTAAAATAATATTCTATAATTTTATTGTTTTATTTCTGCCTGGGTTTGGAGAAGTATTTAGTCAGGGTGGGGAGTAATTTAATTTTAGCACTATTGTTTCTTGCTTTGCTTTTTTATTATTCTGTTAAGTTATTATATAGTTTGTATTTTGCTTTTTAAGGGGAAGGGTCAGGGCTGCCTGGGAGTGGGCCTCAGCCAATAGAATGGCTGGGGCAGGTTCCACAGGGGGGAATGTATTGGGACACCCGATCTCAGTGATCACGGGCAGGAGGAGGAGTTACGCTAAGACCAGACCATGTCATTACCGAGGAGGCAGGTTTAGTCGTTGTTTGAGGACTATCCCTGCCTCCAGGTCTGGTCCTGACTGGAAGGATACTGGAATCAGCAAGGGAAACCCACATGACCTGAAAGTGTTGCTGTGCAATGCCAGGTCAATGATGAATAAAACCACTGCCATCCACGACCTGATTGTGGATGGAGGATTTGACCTGGCATGTGTGACAGAGACCTGGTTGGATGAAGCAGATGGGCCTGTCCTTGCCGCTGCTTGCCCACCAGGTTTCTCTTACGCACAGCAACCCAGGTCATGTGGGCAGGGAGGGGGGGTTTGGAGTGATTTTTAGGAAGTCATTAGTCTGTACCAGGCATCCTATTGGGAAGGCCCAGTTCTCTGAGTGCATGTTCTGGAAGTTGGGCAATAGGGGCAGTACAGGATTCCTATTGGTGTACCAATCTCCCCGCTGCACCAAGGATTCCCTGTCCGATCTGCTTCAGGTCGTGGCGGATGATCTCCTCGAGACACCTAGCTTGGTTGTCCTGGGGGATTTTAACATCCATGCCGACACGACCTTACAAGGGGCCGCTCGGGACTTCGTGGAAAGCATGGCCTCCATGGGGCTGTCCCTGAATAAGTTTGGCCCAACTCATAGCCGCGGACATGCCTTAGCCCTGGTGTTTACCTCTACGGATGTTGGTGATCTGACACTAACTAAAAGCAAAACAAAAGAAGTGCCATGGTCAGATTATTTCAGGTGCAACTGGACTTCTCCGCTACCCATCCCCTCTGCAGGGAGGTGGGACCAATGCGGATGGTCCACCCCTGCTACTTAATGAATCCAAATGGTTTCCAGAGAGTGGTAGGGGATGCTTTAGCCCATGTTGATGGCCTTTCAGCTGATTCCCTGGTGGCCCGCTGGAATGCGGAGTTAACCAAGGCTATTGACTATCTGGCTCCGAAGCGCCCTCTCCGATTGCATGGAGCGCGGACAGCCCCGTGGTTTTCCCGGGGCTGAGGGCGATGAAACAATCATTGAGACGGCTAGAGCGCCGGTGGCGGAAAATTCATTCTGAATCAGACTGGACATGGGCTAGAGCTCAACGTCGAGCCTACCCAGTGGCAATGGTGACGGTGAAGAGGGCTTTCTTCACCACCTCCGTTGCATCTTCTGAAAACAGTAGCAGGAGACTTTTTCAGGTGGTTCGCAATCTATCGGAACCATCTGCACCACCGGGGCCTGGTAGGGACCCCAAGATCTCCTGCAATGCTTTTGCAAAGTTTTTTTGCAGATAAAGTCGCTCAGATTCAGAAGGAGGTAGATTCCACCGTGGGAGCAGGGCCAGGGCGGGAGAGTGCTAGAGTTCTGTCTAGTCCTGTTATATGGGATCAATTCCAATCTGTTACCTCCGAGGATGTGGACAGGCTGCTTGGACAAGTGAAACCGACCACCTGTCTCCTTGATCCTTGCCCATCCTGGCTGATAAAAGCGAGCCGGGAAGGGCTGGGCAATGGGCTCTGCGGGTGGTGAATGCTTCCCTCTGTGAGGGAGCCTTCCCAGACCCGCTGAAAGAGGCCGTTCTTAAACCGCTTCTTAAGAAAAACATCTTTAGACCCAGCCAATTTGGCTAACTATCGCCCAGTCTCAAATTTAACATTCTTGGGCAAGGTGATTGAGCGGGTGGTTGCCGAACAACTCCAAGCACGCCTGGAGGATGCGGACCATTTGGATCCCTTCCAATCGGGGTTCAGGCCTCACCATGGGACTAAAACTGCCTTGGTTGTGCTGGTTGATGATCTCCGGCGGGCTAGGGACAAAGGTGAGAGCTGTTTCCTAGTTCTGCTGGATCTCTCAGCGGCCTTTGACACCATTGAGCATAACATCCTTCTGGACCGTCTTGAGGGGCTGGGAGCTGGGGGCACTGTTATACGGTGGCTCCGCTCCTTTCTCCTGGGCCGTGTCCAGAAAGTGGTGTTGGGGGAAGAGTGTTCAGACCCCTGGGCTCTCACTTGTGGGGTGCCTCAGGGTTTCGTCCTCTCCCCCATGCTTTTTAATATCTATATGAAGCCGCTGGGAGAGATCATCAGGGGGTTTGGGCTGGGTGTTCATCAGTATGCAGATGACACCCAGCTCTACCTCTCCTTTAAATCAGAACCAGTGAAGGCCGTGAAGGTCCTGTGTGAGTGCCTGGAGGCAGTTGGAGGATAACTATGCTTTCCTCTGCTTAAGAAATTTCTTGACGCTAAGACCCGTTTGAGAGTGGAAAGTTTCTCCAAGCAAAATTACCAGGTTTGTCCTTGTTTTCCTGCTCATTGTTTGGAGAGAAACAGACCGCAAGCCGGGTTTGGACATCCCAGTAAGTCAGACTGGTGTCTTTTCAATGGAGCAATGTCAGAAATCTGGGAGCAGCCGAAAGGTGTTACCGTATTTTAGCAGTGTATATACCTTGGGGCTTCCCGTTCACACGAAGCCATCACTTTAAAAAAAAAAAGATTTTTATTTGATTTTACAAATTCATTCACACTCAAAATAACAAATAATAAAAATTATACAAGATTCTTCTGAATCTCAAGACCTCCCTCCTCCCCTCCATGGGTTCTTTAATTAACTTTTTCAACTGCATACTATAAATCCTAATTTTTCAGTCCTCCATTATATCCAAAGTCTATGTAACATTACAAGAGTTATTTAAGACCTGCCAAAGAATTCAAATATTTACAGCAGTGTGCCAAATATGATATAAATTTCTCCCATTCTCCCATTCTTTGTTGAAGTTTGATCTTCCTGGTTTCTGATTTTCCCAGTAGTTTGCCTGCCAGTCCACCCTGGTAGGGATTTTATCGTTTTTCCAACTTCGGGCAGGCAGCTTCCTTGCAGCTATTGCTGCATACATTAACAGTCTTTTCAAAAAGGCTTCTGTTGTTGTTTTTTTAACAAACATTATTTTAAACAGTTTCCCCCCAAATTCGTTATATATCATTTCCCATATTTCCTTTGTTACTTTACAGTTCCACCACACATGATAAAAGGTGCCTTCCTTTTCTTTACATTTCCAGCAAATATTTGAACTTGTCCTGTACATTTTTGCTAATTTACCCAGGAGTTAAATACAAGCTGTACATCATTTTCATATAATTTTATTTTGATGTATAAGGTAAAGGGACCCCTGACCATTAGGTCCAGTCGTGGCCGACTCTGGGGTTGTGGCGCTCATCTGACTTTACTGGCCAAGGGAGCCGGCGTACAGCTTCCGGGTCATGCGACCAGCATGACTAAGCTGCTTCTGGCGAACCAGAGCAGCACACGGAAACACTGTTTACCTTCCCGCCGGAGTGGTACCTATTTATCTACTTGCACTTTGACGTGCGTGCTTTTGAACTGCTAGGTTGGCAGGAGCAGGGACTCACCCCGTTGCGGGGATTCGAACCGCCAACCTTCTGATCGGCAAGCCCTAGGCTCTGTGGTTTAACCCACACCGCCACGCGTATCCCTATTTTAATGTATAACACGCTGTAAATTTCAAATCCCCTCTCCATAATTTTCCCCATGCTGAAAATGGAACAATGACTGTGGTTTAACATGGCATGTGAACCTCACCAATGTCAATGAAGCACCAGTCTGCTGCAAAATGTAAGTGAAAGTAGAATGATGGGTGATGTTTCACCTTAATTGGAATATTTACAATAGCGTATATTTACGACTGGGTGGTCTACGGAAACTGAGCACAGAGCCACACCATTGAAAGCATATTCAATGCATATTTAAAGCAATTTCTTCCAAAGAATTCTCAGAACTATGGCTCCCCCACCACAGAACTATAATTTGCAGTACCCTTAATGTTGTTGTTATATTTATATCCCACTTTCCCCCCACAAGAGGGTACTTTCTTCCATATGTGGGAGTTATGTAAGGTAGCAAAAGCTTTCTGATAAATGATTTATAATGAGCTGAAAAAAATGTTGAAGATAACTTTTGTTAAAAATACACAGAAGCTTTACTTTTAGGAATATTTGGGGGAGAGGTACCCAAAGAACAGAAAATATATATATATTTATATACATTACAGTCGTACGTCAGGTTACATACACTTCAGGTTACAGACTCCGCTAACCCAGAAATAGTACCTCGGGTTAAGAACTTTGCTTCAGGATGAGAACAGAAATCGCGCAGCGGCAGCAGGAGGCCCCATTAGCTAAAGTGGTGCTTCAGGTTAAGAACAGTTTCAGGTTAAGAACGAACCCCCAGAACAAATTAAGTACTTAACCTGAGGTACCACTGTACTATAGCTGCCCAAATGATTTATGTCCAGAGATGGAAAGAAGAAACAGTTCCGACAAAGGAGGACTGGAAAATAAAATGGATGGAATATGCAGAAATGGTGAAACTTACTGGAAGAATACGAAACCAATAAGAGAGATTTTTTGAAACAAAATGGGGAACATTTGTTGATTATTTGAAGATACATTGTAAATCTTGAAATATTAGCAGGATAGACATAAATTTGTGCAGTAAGAAATAATTAAAAGAGAACATAAGGGCAAATCAGTAAACAGGTTTGAACTGGATATGCAGTAATAAAAATATACAAAGTAAGTAACTGCAGAAAGGAGGGGAGGGAAGTCAAAAGAAACGCAGATCAATTTTGCTACGAATTTTTGCAAAAATATTTGTAAAAGGTGAAAACAAAAAATAAAATTATATTAAAAAGTAATTAAACTATAGCAGAATTAAAACAATATAAAAACAAATCTATTAACACACAGGTATTAAAACAACAACAGCCCAGCCCCATTAAAAGCCCTTTCCTTAAAAACCAAAACAAAAAAACCACACCCCTTAATAATCTACTTTTCCCAGGATTTCTGAGGGAAAGTCATGTTCTTTAAATGTGTTGGATGTGCTTTGAATCTATGGTGTGGATCTGGCCTAAGAGGCAACACATGATATGTGGTTTCTCTTGGGTGTGAAATCTGAGAAGTTGTACTTGGATGAACGTTCTTTCTAGGCGTAATGCGTTTCTATACTTCCTCCTCTTCATGAGTTCTCTGATGCTTACTGAGGTATGATCTCCTTTTAAAGCATTTTCCGCACTCGGAGCATTTGTAGGGCTTCTCCCCGGAATGAGTCACTTGGTGCTTACTGAGGTTTGAGCTCGAACTGAAGCACTTCCCGCACTCGAGGCATTTATACGGTTTCTCCCCCGAGTGAATTCTCCGATGACATGTAAGGTGTGTGCTTCGACTGAAGCTCTTTCCGCACTCCGAGCATTGATACGGCTTCTCCCCTGTGTGGATTCTTTGATGAAACGTGAGATTAATCTTCTGATTGAAGCTCTTTCCGCACTCCAGGCATCTGTACGGCTTCTCCTCTAGGTGGATTCTCTGATGAGAAGTGAGGTCTTTGTTCAGGTTGAAGCTCTTTCCACACACCAAGCATTTATAGGGCTCCTCCTCCGAGTGAGTTGCTTGATGGTACATGAGGATTGTGCTAGAGCAGAAGCTCTTTCCACACTCCAAGCATTTATACGGTTTCTCTTCGGAGTGAGTCCTCTGATGCATACTGAGGGTTGTGCTGTTGTTGAAGCTTTTACCACACTGCAGGCATTCGTAGGGTTTCTCCCCCGTGTGAATCCGGTGATGGTTACTGAGGCCCGTGCTCAAACGGAAGCTCTTTCCGCACTCCGAGCACTTATATGGCTTTTCCCCTGTGTGGATTCTCTGATGGGTAATAAGGTCGGCGTTCTGACTGAAGCTCTTTCCACACTCTGCACATTTATAGGGTTTCTCGGCCGTGTGAATTCTCTGATGTGTGGAGAGGGCTGAGCTCTGACTAAAGCTCTTCCCACACTCCGAGCACGTATACGGTTTCTCCCCTGTGTGAATCCTTTCGTGATAAGTAAGACTAATTTTGACGCTGAAACTCTTTCCACATTCCGAGCATTGGTACGGTTTCTCTGCCATGTGAGTCCTCTGGTGCATAGTTAGGCTTGAGTTGTGACTGAAGCTCTTCCCGCACTCTGCACACTTATACGGTTTCTCCCCTGTGTGAATTCTCTGATGAGCAGTCAGGCTCGTCCTCACCGTGAAGTTCTTCCCACACTCCGCACATTTATAGGGTTTCTCCCCAGTGTGAATTCTCTGATGACGAGTGACATACATCTTCTGACTGAAGCTCTTCCCACACTCCAGGCATTGGTAAGGCTTCTCCCCAGTGTGGAGGCTTTGATGCACGATGAGGGTTGTGCTGCGACTGAAGCTTTTCCCGCACTCCAGGCATTTATAGGGTTTCTTCCCCGTGTGGATTATCTGATGCTTCCTAAGGTCCGAGTTCGAACTGAAGCTCTTTCCACACTCCAGGCATGGGTGCACTTTCCCCGCTGTGTGAGTTCTTTGATGCCTGCTGAGGTTTGTGAACCAACTGAAGCTTTTTCCGCACTCCAAGCATTTATAGGGTTCCTCCCCTTTGTGGATTTTGCAATGAGCTCTGAGTTTAGACCTAGAACTGAAGCTTTTCTGACACACGAGGCATTGACTGGTCTTCTTTCTTTTATCAGTTTTTTCTGGGGTTGCGATTTCAAGGCAGCCACTGCCCTGGGAAGCGAAGGGTTTTTCCCTCCCCTGATTTGCTTTTCTTGCTGGCTGTCTCCTCTTTCCACACCGTTCTTTTTCCAGCGACACCCCCCATAGTTCTTCCGTTTCCTCAGTTGCCCCTTGGTCACCTGTTGCAATGAAGACAAGAAAACAATAAGAGTCCATATTGGAAATGGGAACTTCAAATAATTGAAGGACCTCAGGTAATTGTTAATTGGGATGTGCTACATAATTTCTCTCATAATGTCTGTCCTGCATTTGCAAATATTTCTCTGCCCCTTGATATTAGGCAAGTGCCTTCGCTGTGCTGTTTTCGGGGCCTGCTAAAAGCTTTTTTTGCACAGGTAAATCTGACAAGTACCATATTTTTTCGTGTATAACACGCCCCTGTGTATAAGACCCCTATTTTGGCGGACTCCTAATTAAGAAAATGGGGGGAGATTGCCCAGAGTTGTTAAGCTTTTTGGGGGTGTTGCGCGCGTCACCAAAGCCACCAATGCTGCCCGCTCACCGACAGCAGCCGCCAATCACCTGCCCAATTTCCTCAGCGGCAGCCAGTCAACACCAGGCCTTGCCACAGCCACCAATCACCCACAAAATTGATGCAGAAGCAGCCAATCGACGGCAGCCACCAATCACCCACCCAATCACCATTGACAATCTCCTGCTTGCGGCTGCAACCAATCGCCCACCTCCCCTCTACACTATCCGTGTATAAGACGACCCCCAATTTTCAACATTTTGAATGAATGAATGAATTTTTATTTGCGTCAGCCATCGGCCATAGCAATAAAACAACAATACGATATACAAAGAATAAAACTAAAAAGTCAATTATATAAAATACATTTTAGGGTTTTGAATCAATAGTCAAATAGTCTATTAGTCAAATAGTCAACATATTTTATTTTTTAATCGTCTTATACACGGAAAACTACGGTATACTACTCTGTGATTTTATTTTGGAATGTGTCTTTTTAAGACTTGCTGATTTTCTTTTAAAACCCGTTTCCACTCCTTTGTTTTTAAGCTTCTGGTTTTATCGGTAATTTGAATGTGTCTTTTATATTATAAATATTATTATTATTATTTACTGAATTTATATACCGCCCTATACCCAGGGGTATCAGGGCGGTTCACAGAATAAAATCAAGATATAAAACCACAAACTATCTAATAAAAATAAAATCAACAACCCAATAGCCCCCCCAAAAAACTGCTTAGGGGTTCTGATTACTGAAAGGCACATCAATCCTGCTAAGAAATATATAGAAATAATATGCATTTGTGGGATATTGATTTACAGTTAATTATGTCTGTTGGCTGACAAAATGAAGAGTAACTCTACTTGACATTTGGGGAATCTGTTATAATTAAATGCAAGTCTATGCAGGAATTGAAATATGTAGTTGATGAGAAATGAAGGGGGGGAATTAATGCTAAAATATTTTTAAGCATTGAAATGGAATTAGTAATGTATGTTACACTGAGCAGCAAGTAAGGGAGGGAAGAGAAACATCATGGAAGCGGGGTGGGAAGTCAGTTTTTAAATTTGTATTATACTTGAATTAATTTTATTAAAACAATAAGGACCAAAAACAATGATTTAGTTATTTGCTTGTTGTTCCAGCTCTCAGCTATTAAATGTGTCCTGCAACTGAGTATTAAAAATGGCTATTTTGATGACGCCAAGCCTTTAATATTTTGCACCAATGTATAACCATGCATAGGGAAGCGGGTGGCGATGTGGGTTAAACCACAGAGCCTAGGACTTGCTGATCAGAAGGTCGGCGGTTTGAATCCCCACGACGGGGTGAGCTCTCGTTGCTCGGTCCCTGCTCCTGCCAACCTAGCAGTTCAAAAGCACGTCAAAGTGCAAGTAGATAAATAGGTACCGCTCCGGCGGGAAGGTAAACTGGTTCGCCAGAAGCGGCTTAGTCATGCTGGCCATATGACCCAGAAGCTGTACGCTAGCTCCCTCAGACAATAAAGCGAGATGAGCGCCGCAACCCCAGAGTCGGTCACGACTGGACCAAATGGTCAGGGGTCCCTTTACCTTTACCTATAACCATGCATAACACTCTAGTGCAGACGTAGGCAAACTCCGGTCCTCCAGATGTTTGGGACCACAATTCCCATCATCCCTAGCTAACAGGACCAGTGGTCAGGGATGATGGGAATTGTAGTCCCAAACATCTGGAGGGCCGGAGTTTGCCTATGCCTGCCCTAGTGGGTTTTGTTTTTTTATTAAATTGAAAGGTGGGAGATAAATGCTTTTAATCAATGAAGAGATTAAATCCCACTAGAAAAGGAGAATGGGATTTGGGACACGAAAGCATAGGAGCTGTTCAACAAGTAGGTTTCTTAACTGTTCTTTTAGACAGACACCCTTACCGAGTGAGTCCAGGATCCTGCCCTTTTTCTCCTTGACTTCTCCATGCAGAGCCGCCCGGTCAGGATCCAGGGGCGCCCAGGCCTCCTCCTCTTCCTCCTTTTTGAAATGCACAGCCATCTCTTCAGTGGGTCACCGGATCCTGAAAGGCAAGATTTCGCTTTCACGCAAAACGCAAAGACCACCGACGGCAGAATCAGTAGACAGGGCTGAAGCAAAGCTGGCACTTCTGGTCAGCAGCTGGAAATGAACCACTTGCACGATCCTTTGGGTTCATTGCCGAGGCTCAGACTTTTATAATCTGGCTGTCACAGGCCCCCCCCCGTGCCCTTCTCCTCCTCTCGCCAACCCCACTAACGATTTTAGCTGTTTACAATGGTTTATAAAATAAGATTAGGATGCGGATGGCACTGTGGGTTAAACCACAGAGCCTAGGACTTGCTGATCAGAAGGTTGGTGGTTCAAATCCCCGCGACGGGGTGAGCTCCCATTGCTCCTGCCAACCTAGCAGTTCGAAAGCACAAAGTGCAAGTAGATAAATAGGTACCATTCCGGCGGGAAGGTAAATGGTGTTTCTGTGCGCTGCTCTGGTTCGCCAGAAGCGGCTTAGTCATGCTGGCCACATGACCCGGAAGCTGTATGCCGGCTCCCTCGGCCAATAAAGCGAGATGAGCGCCGCAACCCCAGAGTCGTCCGCGACTGGACCTAACGGTCAGGGGTCCCTTTACCTTTGCCTATAAAATAAGATTATAAATGTTTCCCCATTCCTTATTGCAATTTTGGTCTTCCTGGTTTCTGATTCTTCCGGTCATTTTTGACATTTCGACATAGTCCATCAACTTAGACCTGCCATTCTTCACTGGTAGGGACTTTATCTTCTAAAATCCACATTTCCAGTACATCCCTCATACAAAATACTGAGAGCCTGGAAGCGGGACCTAGTTTAGCCAAGTCTCACCCCCAAACCACCTCAAACATGGTTGAAATTAAGGTTTTCGCTCGGCTGCAGTCAGGCTGCACAACCGATTCTTTAATTTGCTGGTGGTGTTTTAATCTACTGGGTGCATAAAACCTCACTTCCTTCCTTTATTTTAGAAATATTATTTAATATAAATTTAAAAGAGGGAAGAGCCTTTTCTGCTGCTGCACCTGAAGTTCAATATGCAGCCCCTGCACATGAAGGCTTTAATAATAATAATAATAATATTTATACCCCACCCATCTGACTGGATTTCCCCAGCCACTCTGGGTGGCTCCCAACAAAATATTAATATTAATATTAATATTAATATTAATACTACTACCTAATGGTCAGGGGTCCCTTTACCTTTTTACTGCTCGGACACTGTGTTCTGCCTGGACACTGAGGTCCAGTGCCAAGGGCCTTCTGGCGGTTCCCTTGCTGCGAGAAGCCAAGTTACAGGGAACCAGGCAGAGGGTCTTCTCAGTGGTGGCACCCGCCCTGTGGAACGCCCTCCCACCAGATGTCAAAGAGAAAAACAACTACCAGACTTTTAGAAGAAATCTGAAGGCAGCCCTGTTTAGGGAAGCTTTTAATGTTTAATAGGTTATTGCATTTTACTGTTTTGTTGGAAGCTGCCCAGAGTGGCTGGGGAAACCCAGCCAGATGGGTGGGGCATAAATAATAAATTTTTTATTTTTATTTTTATTTTATTATTATTATTATTATTACTACTACTACTACTAAAGTTTTATTCCGCGCACGTATGAACTGTTTTGGTGAGGGAGACCATGAGATACACCTCCAACAGCCTCCTTACAGAAGTGGCCAACCTTTGCAATGCTTTGGACCTCAAAATCTACCAGCCAGCGTTGTTCTGTTTCCAGGTTCTTCTTCAGTTTTTCTCCCTCCTTCCCTCCCTCTGCCTGATGTACCTTTCCATCCTTTCACCTGAGAGATTTAACCAGGCTGCTGAGTGCTTCACCAACTCCCCTTTTTTAGGAAAACTGATGAAACGGGCGCAATCAAAGAAAAGCCACCCATCTTAATCCCGTGGCCGTGGGTTCGAATCCCGCATTGGGATTGCTGCATTGCAGGGGGTGGGACTAATGACCCGTGGGGTCCCTTCCAACTCTACGACATAGCTGTCAACTTTTCCCTTTTCTTGCGAGGAATCCTATTCGGAATAAGGGAATTTCCCTTTAAAAAAGGGAAACGTTGACAGCTATGCTCTACGATTCTATGGGCGGGAAACAGCGCCAACCCGGGATGGAGTGATGGACTCCAACTCCCATCATTCCTCCTTGCCAGCCGTGCTGGCAGGGGCTGATGGGAGTTGGAGTCCTGTCGCAGGATCCCCCCCCCCCTGCAAAAGGAGCCTAAGATGCCATTGGGGGGCAAGTAGGGGGTGGGAGGGCCAGCAGCAACCCCGCATCTCCCTGTCCTGCCTTGCAGTGCCCCCCCGCACCCTCCTCCCTCCCTGCCACCCCAGGGCTCCCCTTCAGCCCCCCATCGCCCCATGCACAGAGCTATGGGGGGGACAGACGACTGACCAGATCCTGGGGGGTCTCCGATGCAGCGCTTGAGAGAGGCTGGGCTGGAGCTGGAGGAGGGAGCTGTTCGCACAGGCTTGCATTTGCTCCGGAGGACCCCCGCCCCACTCTCCTCCTCCTTTTGCACCCCCACCCCCCAATTCACATCCTCTCTAGGACCCGGAGTCAGTTCACTTTAACCCTTTGAAGGCAGGATCGCTTTCCTCGCTCTACGCCTCTCTGAGCCAAGGAGGGGAAATCAGTTTTAATTGCGCAGCTCTGGTCTGATTGATTGATTGATGCTTATTCAAAGATGTACCAAAAAAGGGAAAACGAGCGAGGTCCCAACTAAATAAGAGTGGCAACTTAAGCAGATAGAATATGTGCAGCTTGCAGACTTAACATATAGAATAAGAGAACAAGAACATACGCTTAGAGAAGATTGGAAAACGTTTATTGAATGTATGGGGAATTACTGTGTACAGCTGAAAACGCTGGCAGGGTTAAGATAAATTTAACGGTGTAAATAAGTATTGATGGATGCAATAATGGAATACTGAATGGTATCGTTTCTGCCAAACATGCAGGGATTTATGATATGTAAAATGAACCATGGAAAGAGAAAAAAGGGAAGGCTTGATATCTTAAGGATGTAATAATTAGTATTTTAAATTGTAAAACAGAAAATTTAATAAAAATTATGTACAAAGATGTACAAAAATGCATACCTATTTTAAAGCATCTTATATACTGAAATGAAACAACTGGCCTGGTCGAAAAGAGAATGAAGGTCTAAAAGTCAGAAGGAAGACATGGAAAGGAGAACACTAAGAAAAAGAGAAAGCGAGAGAAAAAGAAAAGAAAGGAAAAACAAAAGAAATAAATACAAGGACTTCCAGTTCTCTGTCCTGCAGCTACATGTGGTATTCATGCCTTAAGGTCCAACCATTCTGTCATCTATAAACCAGTATTATTTCAACCTTCAAATCCGGATATTACAAGATTGTTTTCTCTTTCATGCCAAAAGCCCATAAGAAATTCCCTAGTCTTTATTTGCGCAGTAATTATTTTTCTCTAATTAAATGTGTTAACATCAGCATCTCAGCCAAATCCATTAGTTTTATTGGCCATTCTTCTGTAGCGCTTAGGGCTGTAGACTTTCCACCTTTGTTCCTGTAGCAATCTTGCTGCTGTAATAATATAGACATCTGTAATAATATAGGATTATTATATGCACAGCTCTGGCCTATAATGCATCGTCTCCCACACACTCCTAAAGGTTAAAATGATTATATATATAACATAATATAATTTATTATTTGTACCCCGCCCATCTGGCTGGGCCTCCCCAGCCACTTTGGGCAGCTTCCAACAAAGGCCAAAAATACCGGTATACTAAAATGTCACACATTAAAAACTTCCCTGAAAAACTTGAATTGAATATGTGTTTTTGAGGACTGTGGTTGGAGGAAGAGGTGGCAGAAGGTGGTCAGCTAGTGGAAGGAATGAAAATGTTGCTTTTTCATAAAACCACAAAACGTCAAAAGGCCTCAAACAGTTGCAGCATCTGAGCAGAAGGTTGCAACAGCGAAGAAACAGCAGACTTGCCTAGAGGTTTATTTTGAAGAGAGCACAGGAACATGCCTTCTGGTGGTTCCCTCACTGCAAGAAGCCAAGTTACAGGGAACCAGGCAGAGGGCCTGCTCAGTAGTGGTGCCTGCCCTGTGGAACGCCCTCCCACCAGATGTCAAAGAGATAAACAACCATCTTGACTTTTAGAAGACATCTGAAGGCAGCCCTGTTCAGGGAAGTTTCTAATGTTTGATGTTTTATTGTAGTTTTTTAATAAAAAATATTCTGTTGGAAGCCACCCAGAGTGGCTGGGGAGGGCCAGACAGATGGGCGAGGTATAAGTAATAAATTATTATTGTTATTATTATTGTTATTATTATTATTATTATTATTATTAAGAATCATAGTTTTGCAGAGTTGGGTCATCTTGCCCAACCCAACAGATGAAACTGTTTCTTCCTCCTTTTTTAAAGGTTTGCATTTTTTGGATGGCTTTGTTTGTTGTATCACTTCTAAATAATAATAATAATAATAATAATAATAATAATAATAATAATAATAATAATAATAATTGCCACCCATCTGACTAGGTTGCTGCAGCCACTTTTGGCAGCTCACAACAAAAAATAAAAGCACAATACAACATTCTTGTGTTCGTCTGTTTTATTGATCTGTTGCGCCCCCCACCCCACATGCTGGCTGTTTGCTGTAATAAACATTGGTTGGTTGGTTGGTTGGTAGGTATTGCGCCGTAGGCTAGCACTTAATTGCTGGGAAGTGACCTATGTATGGAGAGAGAGAGAGATGATGCGCCTCTCCCTGGCCTCCCAGGGGTTAAAACCAAGTGAATCTGAATCCTAGACAGGACAGGGATTTGAGGCGGGAGGACCGGAAGTGGCGGAGGCGGAGTCCTTCCGCAGTTGTTCTCCAGCCTAGGTCGAGCCAGAGGCGATTGGACTACAACTCCCATCATCCTCAGCCCGCTGAGCCAGTTGCCGGGCATGATGGGAGTTGTAGTCTCCCACCTCTCCGGAGCCGATGCCTCCCCCTCCCCCCCCCAAAGTCTTTATTCCCCTGTCTGGCGGAGGAGAAAAGCGACCTTCTGCCTCTCCCCGGAGCGCTGCATCGGCGGCCCCGCCTGGAGCAGGTGAGCCCCCGCGCCTCTTGCGTGCCTCTGCAGGAAGGGGAGCCCCGGGGTGCAAAGCTGGCCTTAAGGGCTGGGGAAGATGCACAGATCCCTGCACCAGCCGCAGGCTGGAGGGGAAAAGCCACCATAGCGGGTGCAGGATCCTATATCTGCCCCTTCCCTCATTGCACCCCATGGGGAAATGGAAGGCAACCCTGCTTCGGAAAGCTTTTAATTATCTATGTGTCTTTCTTTCCCTCTATATTTTCTTTGGAAGCCACCCAGATCAGCTGGGGGCAACTCAAGTCAGTTGGGCGGGTATCAGAAATAAATAAATAAATAAATAAATAAATAATAATAATAATAATAATAATAATAATAATAATAATAATAATTATACCAGGACACACACAGCATCCACATAACCACCCAAGAGGAAAATTTTATCCTCCTTGGGCATCTCTGATAGGATGCCATCCAGCTGAGAAATTTTTTCGTGGGAGCCAGTTGAAGTAAAATCCTTCGAAGACAGAGGTCCTTTGGCTGGGTCGGGAGGATATGGGATTGGGGGGGCAACTCCCATCTCTTGCGGGGGCGCAATTAGTGCCAGCACCGTCCGTTAAGAGTTTGGGTGTAATCTTCGATACCTCCCTCTCTATGGAGGCGCAGATTACAGCTATAACAAAGGCGGCATTTTTTCCATCTCCGCCAAGCTAAGCAGTTGGCTCCTTACCTCTCTCGCCCTGACCTAGCCACTGTGATCCACACGACGGTCACCTCCAGACTGGATTATTGTAACTCGCTCTACGTGGGGCTGCCCTTGAGACTGACCCAGAAACTCCAGCGGGTGCAGGATGCCGTGGCGAGACTCCTTACGGGGTCTTCGCTGCGGGATCACATTCACCCGGTGCTATACCAGCTGCACTGGCTCCCGGTGGAGTACAGGATCAGGTTTAAGGTGCTGGTTTTAACTTTTAAAGCCCTATATGGCCTAGGATCCTCATACCTATGGGACCGCCTCTCCTGGTATGTCCCACAGAGGAACTTACGATCTTCAAACAAAAACATCTTGGAGGTTCCAGGCCACAGAGAGGTTAGGCTGGCCTCAACCAGAGCCAGGGCTTTTTCGGCTGTGGCTCTGATCTGGTGGAACGCTCTGCCACAAGAGACTAGGGCCCTGTGGGACTTGACATCTTTCCTCAGGGCCTGCAAGACAGAGCTGTTCCTCCAGGCCTTTGGCCAGGGCACAGCCTGACTCCCTCCTCTGGCAATCTTCACAGAACTCTAGCCCAATGGTTGCCATCAATTTGATTTGAATTAATTTTATAATGAAATGATTTTAGAATGTTGTATTATTTTATTGTTGTTAGCCACCCTGAGCCCGGCTTCGGCTGAGGAGGGCGGGATATAAATAAAAAATTATTATTATTATGATGGGCATCCTATGCCCATGTTGTCTAGTCTGGGGTGCATAGGGAGGAATGGGAGGGGAAACACCACAAAGAATCGAAAAAAGGAAGAAAGAGAGCGGCGCTGGTGCTTACTGATGCAAGGCTAGTCTAAGTCCATCTGCCAGGTGATTGGGGAAGAGGGTAAAAGCTCCCATTGCAGCATTTCCTCACCTATCTGCAGCATAGCAGGGTTATTTTAAGGAGGGGAAGGTTAACCTACTTATAGGCTGTGACCTACCTCCACCACACCTCAAAAAAAGAAAAGAAAAATCATTCCTGCGCTGCAACTGATTCCTGCACTATGCCATCAGACAGCTAGATATCTCACTGCTACAAGGTGCAGAAGATGGTTCTCCCCCTCCTGATTTAATCCCCACAACAGCCCTGCTAGGCTGAGAACCAGCAGCTGGCCCAAGGTCGCACCCAGTGAGTGAGTGAGTGGCAAAGGAATTGTGTGGGATAAATAGCATGTGGGAGGCGGGGCCTGGTTCTTGCCCCACCCACATTGGGCTCTGGCACCTCCCACCACATGTTCCAGCCCCTCCCACTTCTGGCATGCGTTCCCCCAACAGATTCTCCCCCCATTTGCTAACGGGACAATGTCACACTTGGCAGGATTTGGTGGTCTGCTCCAATTGCTCCCCTCTCTGCCTCTAGACGGAAATCGGTGGGAGGTTTTCCCAATGGATGAGCAAAACCCAGCTGGCCTTGAAGGAGGAAGCGACCCCGAGCCTGGGAGCAGTGGGGAATTCTGGAAAAGAACTGTGGAGAACATCCTGGGAGAGGAAGAGACGCTCAGCTTAGATGTCCAGCGCTGGCATTTCAGGCAGTTCCGCTACCAGGAAGCTGAGGAGCCTCAAGAGGTTTGCAGCCGGCTCCACCATCTTTGCCGCGAGTGGCTGAAGCCCGAGAGACACAGCAAGGCTCAGATCCTGGACCTGGTGGTCCTGGAGCAGTTCATGGCTGTCCTACCCCCAGAGATGGAGAACTGGGTCAGGGAATGTGGAGCAGAGACCAGCTCCCAGGCGGTGGCCCTGGTCAAAGGTTTCCTCCTGAGCCGGGCAGAGGACAGTAGGCAGGAAGAGCAGCAGGTGAGAACATTTTTATTCCTTCATCTATAGATCTCAGCACGGCTCACAACATAAAATGACAACATAAGAAACACAGTGTTTTGTTAGCTCCAAAATGGAAAACAGGTGAGGTCCCAACTAAAGAAGAATGGCAACTTAAATCAATGGAATATGTGCAGCTTTCAGATTTAACATATAGAATAAGAGAACAAGAAGAACATAAGTTTAGAGAAGATTGGGAAATGTTTATTGAATATATGGGGGGGAACTGTGTACACTTGAAAACGTGGGCAGCATTAAGATAAATTTGACAGTGTAAATGAGTATTGATGTAATAATGGAATGGTTTAGTTTATGTATAATATGATGATGATACAACGGTGGTTGGTTTAATTACGGCTGGAGAGGGGGAGACGGCCTATAGGAAGGAAGTTGAGCAGTTGGGGGAGTGGCGCTGGAAAAAACACACCTGACTGCTTAACTTAAAGAAAACAAAAGAGATCATTGTGGACTTTAGGAAATGTAAATTGAATATTCAGCCACTTATTATTGAGGGGAAGTGCGTGGAACAGGTCTCGGTGTTTTGATTTCTGGGAATGGAGTTGAGAGACGACCTAACCTGGGGAGAGAACAGCAAAGACCTGATGAAGAGAGCACAGCAGAGGTTCTATTTTCTGAGAATCCTCCGGAAAAACAATCACTCAAAGGACCTGTTGATGGCATTCTACCATTGCACTGTGGAGAGCGTACTAACTTATGGTCTGTGCGTGTGGTTTGGGAGCTGCACAGTCAGGGAAAAAGCAATGCTGTCCACGGTTATAAAGACTGCAGAGAGAATAACTAGATGCACTCTTCCCACCTTAGATCAAATCTATGCTGCCAGGTGCCATAAGAAAGCGGCAGAGATAGCACAGGATAGTGCGCACCCCGGAAATGATCTCTTTCAGCTTCTGCCTTCTGGAAGAAGGTACAGGGTTATAAAGGCCAGGACTAGCCGCCTGAGAAACAGTTTCTACGCTAATGCAATTCTGGTTCTAAACGCAGCATAAGGGGTCTCTGTAGTATAGTGTATTTTAAAATGGGGTTTTAGAGTTTTTAGGGGCTTTTGAATGTTTTATGTAGTTTTTATGTAGTTTTATGTAGTTTTGTGGTAGTTTTATGTAGTTTTATGTAGTTTTCAATTTCATTGTTCCGCAAGGGACAATGACAATAAAGATAGCGTATATCGTATATCGTAAAATATGTAGAGATTTATGATATGCAAAATGAACCATGGAAGAGAAGAAGGGAAGTCATTGATATTTTGATATTTTAAGGTTGTCTAAATGAACATTCTAAAACGTAAAACAGAAATTGTTAATGAAAATTATACTGACAGTATAAGAAACACAAAATACATAGTCAGAATTAGAACCAAAACAAACCAAAGGCAGTGAAGGTGAAGGAGGATTTCCTAAAACTATCTAAGAGGCGAAAAGAGATGACCTGATAGAAGTTTATAAAATGAGGCATAGTACGAGAACGCGAATAGATAGTTCCCCCCCCCCATCCCTCTCTCATAACACGGTAACTTTGAGATATCCAAGCTGAATTCAGGACAGAAAGTAATTCTTCATGCAGCACATATATAAACTATGGAACTCCTTTTAAAAAAAAATAAAAAACATTTTTTTGATACAAACAACAACCGCAAAAGACACTACAACAAAACCATAATAACAATAACACAATTTGACAATTCAGATTTAAATACACTGATATACCTAGGTATGTCAGTGTAAACTATGGAACTCCTTGCCACCGGAGGCAGTGATGGCCGCCATCTTGGATGGCTTCAAAAGAGAACTGGGCAAGTTCATGAAGGAGAGGCCTATTCACAGCTACTAGCCAGGATGGCTATGCTGTGCCTCCATGGCTTGTTGTTGTTGTTTAGTCGTTTAGTCATGTCCGACTCTTTGTGACCCCATGGACCAGAGCACGCCAGGCACTTCTGTCTTCCACTGCCTCCCGCAGTTTGGTCAAACTTATGCTGGTAGCTCCGAGAACACTGTCCAACCATCTCGTCCTCTGTCGTCCCCTTCTCCTTGTGCCCTCCATCTTTCCCAACATCAGGGTCTTTTCCAGGGAGTCTTCTCTTCTCATGAGGTGGCCAAAGTATTGGAGCCTCAGCGTCAGGATCTGTCCTTCCAGTGAGCACTCAGGGTTGATTTCCTTCAGAATGGAGAGGTTTGATCTTCTTGCAGTCCATGGGACTCTCAAGAGTCTCCTCCAGCACCATAATTCAAAAAGCTCCATGGAAGGAAGCAGTAACTCTTCTGAATGCCAGTCGCTGGAAACCGCACACAAGAGCTCGAATCCTGCATTCGGGTTTCCCACGGGCACCTGGTTGGCCACTGTGAGAACAGGAGGACGCTGGACTAGATGGGCCCTTAGCTTACGTTCCTGGAGGCTTCTAGTTAGCCAGCCTGGACTGTTGGGATACTGCCAGGGAGACAAAGTCCATCATGGCCCCCAAGCCGTCTCCAGACGTCCATCGATCTCCCGTAGACACGCAGTATCAGCAATTAGCGACACGAGCTCCAGAAATAGCCTGCCACATTCCAGAGCTGGTGCACGCTCTATCAGCAGATAATGCACAGCGAAAGATGCACGCAGGAGAGCATTATTTACAAGTTTATTCAGCATTTGATCAGAACAAAGAAAACATGACTGCCTGCTTCAGTGTCTCTGGCACAGAGAGAGAAACGAAAGCAAAGACACAACAGAAACATCCTGTGAACAGGAAATATGCAGGCTGTGACACAAACATCCTGCTCCCTTTTAAGGTGGAACGGAAATATCCTAACATGTACAACCGAATGCTGGAACTGGATAGGCTATTTTGGTCTAATTCTTCTGACGCACCTTTGCCTCTGCCATCCTTTTCCTAATGCTTTTCACTCCCATCTCTGCTCCAGGAGAAAGGCCTGCTTGCAGAAGCGAGCGCCAGATTTTCTGACTCGGAGGAAGCTCTTCCGGGAGCGAGGCAGAGCCCCCCACAACGCGGGATCGCCCCAGAGCGTGGCAGAGGGGCCACCTTGCTTGGTAAGGATCTCTGCATGGGTGGGGAAACTGTGGCCTCCCAAATGTCGCTGGACCCCACCTCCCATCAGCCTCTGACTGACAGGTGTCAGGGACTGGGCAGAGGAGGAGGAGGAGTTCAGAATCACAAGAGGGATTTGAGGGAGGTCACAGCTCAGAGGAGGAAGAAGCACCGGGGGGGGGGTGATGGACTCAGTGTCTTTAGAAAGCATTCCAGACCCCCCTCTCTCAGAACCAGGAGAGCAATGGACTATACAGAACTAGATAAATTAACAGGAAGGATTCGAAACCTGCAGGATCAGAGATTCTTAGAAGACTGGAGTAAATATATGAACTACAGTGATACCTCTGGATGCGAACGGGATCCCTTCTGGAGCCCCGTTCGCATCCTGAAGCGAACACAACCTGCGTCTGTGCGTGCGCGGGTCACTATTTGCAGTTTCCACGCATGTGTGTGATGTCATTTTGACTGTCTGCGCATGTGTGAGCAGTGAAACCCGGAAGTAGCGCACTCCGTTACTTCCCGGTCGCCTCGGAGTGCAACCCGAAAATACTCATCCCGAAGCTTCTTCAACCCAAGGTATGACTGCACAGTGGTACCTCGGGTTACATATGCTTCAGGTTACATACGCTTCAGGTTACAGACTCCGCTAACCCAGAAATATTACCTCGGGTTAAGAACTTTCCTTCAGGATGAGAACAGAAATTGTGTGGTAGGGACGCAGCAATAGTGGGAGGCCCCATTAACTAAAGTGGTGCTTCAGGTTAAGAACACTTTCAGGTTAAGAACGGACCTCCGGAACGAATTAAGTACGTAACCAGAGGTACCGCTGTATCTGAAAAGTAATTGTGATGAACAGACTACGCTAGTAGGACTGCAAGAAGTTTTGTAAGGTGGATTATTTGAAATATTGCAAGAAAGGCTATGAAAAGAATTATTAGTTAAGGACAATTAAATGTAATAGGAAATTAAGAAATGCAGAATAAGTGATAAAAAACGGAAAATCATCAGAGGTGTTGACGGAAGTCAAAAATATTGTATAAGATGGGAAGATATGTTGTATGACTCTTGGAATTGATATGTTAAAAAATCAATAAAAATGTATATATATATATAAAAAGAAAGTAGGAGAGCAAAGAGTTCAGAGGGCACTTTGCAGCACCTGTAGCGATGACCCATGAGGAAATGGGAGAGACAGAGGGTGGAGATTCACTCGGGACAACACCATTATTCTGCAAGGCTGGATTCCCAAGCCTCTCTCTGTGAACGTTGAATAAAAAGCAGATGGCAAGGACTTTTCCTCGTTTTACCCGTTCCTGGCAACCTGCCGTGGGGGTTGGTTCCTCTGCTGCCTGATGCTAGGCCACGGCTGAGGGATGCGGGGAGTTGGAGTCTAGCAGCAGCAGCAACAGCAGCTGCCGGCAGGCCAGAGAGTCCCTATCACTGGATTGCAATGGATATGCTCGGTTTTTTTGTTTACTCTGTATCCATTGCGCTTGGATAGCTCAGTTGGTTAGAGCACGGTGCTGTCAACGCCAAGATTGCAGGTTCGAGCCCTGTACGAACTTCCTGCAACGACAGGATGTGGGGGCAAATCCGTTAAGTGGTTCATGGCACAACCTGGAAGCAAGGCAACCCGAAACAGCCTTCTCACCCCTTCAAAGTGTTGGTGCTGACCTTTAAAGCCCTAAACGGCCTCGGCCCAGTATACCTGAAGGAGCGTCTCCATCCCCATCGTTCTGCCCGGACACTGCGGTCCAGCTCTGAGGGCCTTCTGGAGGTTCCCTCGCTGCGAGAAGCCAAGTTACAGGGAACCAGGCAGGGGGCCTTCTCGGTAGTCGTGCCCGCCCTGTGGAACACCCTCCCATCAGATATCAAAGAGAAAAACAACTACTAGACTATTAGAAGACATCTGAAGGCAGTCCTGTTTAGGGAAGCTTTTAAAGTTTAATAGATTATTGTATTTTAATATTCCGTTGGAAACCGCCCAGAGTGGCTGGGGAAACCCAGCCAGATGGGTGGGGTATAAATAATAAATTATTATTAAATTATTATTTGTCTCTTGCAGGAGATGGGATGATGCCAGCAGCATGTACCGGGTCATCTCTCCCTGGTGGTGGAAGGGATGGAGCTGCGATGGAAAAGGATCAGGTAAGGATCAGGGACGCCAGTGGCGCTGTGGGTTAAACCACTGAGCCTACGACTTGCTGATCAGAAGGTCGACGGTTCGAATCACTGCAACAGGGTGAGCTCCCGTTTCTCGGTCCCTGCTCCTGCCAACCTAGCAGTTCAAAAGCACGTCAAAGTGCAAGTAGATAAATAGGTACCGCTCCAGCGGGAAGGTAAACGTCATTTCCGTGCGCTGCTCTGGTTCGCCAGAAGCGGCTTAGTCATGCTGGCCACATGACTCCGTGAGCTGTCTTTATACATGCTCAGTTTCTGGAACTGAGTAAGAGTTCCATTTAGTCTAGACATAAACCTCAAACTGAAAGGATGTAGGCCTTTGAGGGCGGGGTGTGTCTTGCAGCCAACTATGGCAAGACCTTAAAAAGATTTAGAAAGAAGTGTGCCTCTATTGGAGAAGCAGGTAAATAGTTTTTGGAATTGTTAAGCTTATAAAGCCAGAAGTAAAAAAAAGTTCTATCTATACCAGATTGTGTTGCTGTGATTTATTGGTGTGCTGGCACCTGGAATCCCAAATAATAAAATTATTAATAATAATAATTCAGTGGTACCTCGGGTTAAGAACTTACCGTAATTCGTTCCAAAGGTCCGTTCTTAACATGAAACTGTTCTTAACCTGAAGCACCACGTTAGCTAATGGGGCCTCCTTCTGCTACCGCACCGCCGGAGCACGATTTCTGTTCTCATCCTGAAGCAAAGTTCTTAACCCGAGGTACTTTTTCTGGGTTAGCGGAGTCTGTAACCTAAAGTGTCTGTAACCTGAAGCATCTGTAACCCACTGTAATAATAATAATAATAATAATAATTTGTTATTTATACCCTGCCCATCTGGCAGGGTTTCCCCAGCCACTCTGGCCAGCTCCCAACAGAATATTAACAACATGATAAAACTTCTAACATAAAAAACTTCCCTAAATAGGGCTGCCTTCAGATGTCTTCTAAAAGTCAGATAGTTGTCTTTTTCCTTGACATCTGATGGGAGGGTGTTCCACAGGGCGGGCACGACTACTGAGAAGGCCCCCTGCCTGGTTCCCTGTAACCTCACTTCTCACAGGGAGGGAACCGCCAGAAGGCCCTTGGAGCTGGACCTCAGTGTCTGGACTGGACAATGGGGGTGGAGACACTCCTTCAGGTATACTGGGCCAAAGCCATGTAGGACTTTAAAGGTCAGCACCAACACTTTGAATTGTGCTCAGAAACATACTGGGAGCCAATGTAGGTCTTTCAAGACCGGTGTTATATGGTCTCGACCGCCGCCCCCATTCACCAGTGTAGCTGCTGCATTCTGAATTAGTTGTAGTTTCCAAGTCGCCTTCAAAGGTAGCCCCACATAGAGCGCATTGCAGTAGTCCAAGCGGGAGATAACCAGAGCATGCACCACTCTGGCGAGGCAGTCCACGGGCAGATAGGGTCTCAGCCTGCGTACCAGATGGAGCTGGTAGACAGCCACCCTGGACACAGAATTGACCTGCGCCTCCATGGACAGCTGTGTCCAAAATGTCTCCCAGGCTGCGCACCTGGTCCTTCAGGGGCACAGTTACCCCATTCAGGACCAGGGAGTCCCCCACACCCACCTGTCCCCCCAAAACAGTACTTCTGTCTTGTCAGGATTCAACCTCAATCTGTTAGCCGCCATCCATCCTCCAATCACCTCCAGACACTTCAATTCACTTCAAGGCTGTGTGGAAAATGTAATGGACCCAGTGTAGTGTTTCTGGCTGTGCAAACTTCAGCAAGCCTTGTAAAAACGCACAACAGGTTGTTGTGGCAGCTTGCAGATTCTCAACAGATTATGGGTGGTTTCCATAATCCCTGACAGCCATTAAGTGCTATTCTCCCCTCAAAAGGACCCCAGGGCTGTAAATGCGTCTGTGATAAAAATCAGGGAATTTTGTTTTTGTTTTTTGGAGTAGGAACTGGGGGGAACTGAACTCCCTTACCTTTTAAAAATTAAATAATAATAATTATTTTTCTGAGGGGGCTGGAACGGATATATAACCCACAATGCCTCAGCCAAAAATCCCCCTCCATCTGTCATCAATAAAGTTTTAGCCATTTCAAATCCAGATCATTGTCTGCTTGAGTTTATTAATCACAACTTGCATTTAGCCACTGCCTGGGAGAGGGGCACTGTGACTGGGCCTGCAACAAACAAACACATTTAGTGGTAAGTTCCCCCACCTATTTTCCCAGGGGAAAAAATCACTGGATGAAATAATACAATTAAAAAGAAAACCGAATCGTTTTTAAAAACCAAAGACAAACCTATGGACCATGCAGCTACATGGTAGCCATTCATGAATTACCGTATTTTTCGCACCATAGGACGCACCGGACAATAGGACGCACTTTGTTTTAGAGGGGGGGAGAACAAGAAAAAAAATTCTCCCCTCTCTGCCCAGCGCCCCTTCAGTGAAGCGGCAGGAGGCGCTGCACAGAGAGGGGGAGAACTTTCCCCCTCTTGTTTTCCCGCTCTAAAACAAGGTGCCGTTTAAGGTGCGTTCAGGCGGCTACCTTGGAAGCCTGGAGAGCAAGAGGGGTCGGTGTGCACTGACCCCTCTCGCTCTCCAGGCTTCAGGTTCCTTTCGACCTGCTCTTTGGGGCTGGCGGGGGGAAGCCCACCACCAGCCCCAAAGAGCAGGTCAGGGAGCAGCGGAAAGGCGCAGCGGAGAGGCTCCTGCCATAGCCGCGCGTCACCTCTCCAGCCGGGAGAGGGTCGCGGGGCTATGGCATCTTCGCTCCATAGGACGCACACACATTTCCCCTTTATTTTTGAAGGGGAAAAAGTGCGTCCTATAGAGCGAAAAATACGGTACGTCCAAATACAAACTTACAGCTGGCAGGCTCCTGTAAAGTATAGTTTTATCTGGATTTGATTGTATACCAGAACTTTTTGACTGCTCAGTTGCACTTCCATGAAATCATAGCCTTATCATTCGTAGCATTTATTTTATCTCTCTGCAATAACCATTTCTCCGTTGTGCGTCATTTTCTTTCTAAAGTTGCGGGTCAAACAGGCAAGCTGCAACCTAAACCAAACAGTTAAAGCTAATGTTAAAAAATACACTAATTGGAGTAACGAAGGAGGTGCAGTGTTATAAATCTTAAAAATATAAGAAACTGCAAAAGGAGTGGGGGAAGTCAATTTATATTTTTATATTTTTATATTATTTATATTATTTATATTATTTATATATTTATATTTGTTGGGAAACACTGAAGTGTTTTTACGTCAAAACACTTTTGAAAAATAGGGAAAAAAATTATAATAAAGAAAAACAGGCAAGCTGTGGTTTGTTTCTGTATCTCTCAAACATGTGCATGTAATGAAATGAAATAGCTTTTTTAAAAACGGTTTAATCAACAATTGCAAGCATCTTAAAACACACATTGAAATGCAATTTAATACAGTGGTGCCCCGCAAGACGAATGCCTCGCAAGATGGAAACTCGCTAGACGAAAGAGTTTTCCGTTTTGGAGGTGCTTCGCAAAACGAATCTCCTATGGGCTTGCTTCGCAAGACGACAATGTCTTGAGAGTTCCTGCGGGTTTTTTTTCCTCCCCCCCCCTTTTTCTAAGCCGCTAAGCCGCTTATCAGCTGATCCGATAAGGCGCTAAAAGGCGCTAATTCGCTAATCCGTCAATGGGCTTGCTTCGCAAGATGAAAAAACCGCTAGACAAAGAGAATCACAGAACGGATTCTTTTCGTCTTGCGAGGCACCACTGTAGAATGAAAATGTTTAAATGGATTTTAAACCACATGCACGGGAAACCATCCTCGGCGCTGATGGTAAAACCCACCCACCTCGTCTGCACTTGGGATTTTGCTGGTAAATAAATGTTCCGTTATCGGTGAGGAGGAAATGTTTGCTTCTCTTCCAGGATTTGGTGACCTTTGAGGAGGTGGCTGTGTATTTCTCTGAGGAAGAGTGGGCCCTGCTGGATCCGGACCAAAGGTCCCTGCACAGGGAAGTCATGGAGGAGAACTGGGAGATTCTGGCCTCTCTGGGTAAGACACAGCTTTTTTCTTTAGCTGATTATCTCTGTAGAGCTCGAAAATGACCAGGGATCACGTATTCCAACTCCCTGCAAGGGAAGCCTTATTCATTTATCCACGACCATTTTTAGCACTGTTGATTTTCAGTTCTTTTGAGTGGCTAAAATAGTTGTTTTTAACTGGTTTTTGCTGATAAGTTCATTGTTTTCTTCTTTTTTTAAAAAAATCTTCTTATTAGTTTTCCACATTTTTACAAACCAAATTACTTTAATATAATACGATTTCTTAAAATCAGGTTTCCCGCTCGTGTTGCAAACATATGTTGTTCGTTTCCCCCCATAGCTGCATCATTTCTTAATTAATGTTCGGTTGTAACCCTGTTGCTGACCACATTTTCCATTGTTTTATTCTTTTTGTAAAATGCTTTGAGGTTTTTTCTCTTACAGTCAAGGGGTACCGTATTTTTCGCTCCATAGGGCGCACCTGACTATGGGGCGCACCTAGTTTTCAGAGGGGGAAATCAAGGAAAAAAATATGATTCCCCCCAGCTGTGGGAGCAGCGGACAGGCTGCAGGCAGCCTGTGTGCTTCTCCCAGACCTTCTCCCTGTTTTTGCGGGAGGTGGGGGAATTCCTCCATCCCCCGCAAAAGCCCACAGGAGCCCCACACATCCTTTAAGGAGCGCACGGCTTCTGCTGGCTTTTCTACGAGGAGGGAGAAGGGACTGATGCAGCCAGTCAGTCCCTTCTCCCTCCTGGGGAAAAGCCCGCAAGAGCCGCACGGAACTTGGGGGCTTTTCCCGCCTGCCTCCCCCCTGCATTCGCTCCATAGGACGCACACACATTTTCCCTTTCTTTTTAGGAGAGAAAAAGTGCGTCCTATAGAGCGAAAAATACGGTATATAAAGCTCATTAATTAAATGTACGTCTCTAGAGGATGTACAGAATTATATATATATATTTAAGAAAAAAGAACCCAGCTTAAAAACAGCACAGAACAGAATCACAGATAAATGTAGAAACACACACACACACAGCGGAGAGACTAGGTGTTCCAGCAGGGAAACCTTGTCTGAACAAAAATGAGTGCTGAGAGTTGTCAAGAGAGACCCCTGTTCCCTTCACAGTGCTATAGTTCCCAGAGTGGCTTAGGAGTCAATCCTTCTTCTCAGACGACTCTGGGAATTGTAGCTCTGTGAGTGGAATAGTCATTTTGGACTCACAGCCGTCCATGGAGGCGCAGGTCAATTCTGTGTCCAGGGCAGCTGTTTATCAGCTCCACCTGGTACGCAGGCTGAGACCCTACCTGCCCACAGACTGTCTCGCCAGAGTGGTACATGCTCTAGTTATCTCCCGCTTGGACTACCGCAATGCACTCTACATGGGGCTACCTTTGATGGTGACCTGGAAACTACAACTAATCCAGAATGCAGCAGCTAGACTGGTGACTGGGGGCAGCCATCGAGACCATATGACACCAGTCCTGAAAGACCTACATTGGCTCCCAGCATGTTTCTGAGCACAATCCAAAGTGTTGGTACTGCCCTTTAAAGCACTAAACGGCCTCGGCTCAGTATACCTGCAGGAACATCTCCACCTCCATCGTTCAGCCCGAACACTGAGGTCCAGCTCCGAGGGCCTTCTGGCGGTTCCCTCCCTGCAAGAAGCCAAGATACAGGCAACCAGATGTAGGGCCTTCTCAGTAGTGCCACCCGCCCTATGAAACACCCTCCCATCAGATGTCAAGGAGATAAAGAACTATCTGACTTTTAGAAGACATCTGAAGGCAGCCCTGTATCAGGAAGTTTTTAATGTTTGATGTTTTATCGTGTTTTTAATATTTTGTTGGGAGCCGCCCAGAGTGGCTGGGTAATCCCAGCCAGATGGGCGGGGTATAAATAATACTATTATTATTATTATTATTATTATTATTAACCACTCTCAGAGCCCTTAAGAAACCACAGCTCTCACGATGCTTTGAGGGAAGGTATAGGCAACCTGCTGTGGTCTACTAAAGATTCCTCAATTACAACTCCCTCCTCCATTCACCTTTGGCCATGGAGCTGCCCCGTCCACAGTTATTTCTGGCAGGAGCTTCTCGGTGCTGGCTCCCCCTCCTGAGTGAGGCGCAGCTGTCTCTGTTACTGATCTTCAGGAGAAAGTTAAGAGCATTCCTGTTTACCCAGGAGTTCGATGGCTGAGAGATACTGACCATAGCAACCATGAAAGTAATAACTCTGGGGGTATGTTATTGTTGTCAGGTCGAAAGTAATAATTATGGGGGTATGTTATTGTTGTCAGATCTTCCAAATGTTCTTAAGACTGTTTTGAATCGTTTTTAAACACTTTAAATACGTTTCTTTTTAAAATTCAATTTTTAAATTGGGCTGTTTTAACATCTGAAGAAGTGTGCACGCACACGAAAGCTCATACCAATAACAAACTTAGTTGGTCTCTAAGGTGCTACTGGAAGGAATTTTTAAATTTTGTTTCAACATTTTGCTGTTTGCTTTTCTGGGCTCCTTTGGGAGGAAAGGCAGGAAGCAAATCTAACAAACTGTTTGTTAATAACAGTATTAATAAGTCTAGTTACATTGGGGTCAGTCTAGCAGGCTTCCTCTCCCTGTGCTAAAATGGTGGTGATGATGCTAATAATAGTAATAATTTTATTACGGTCGTACAGAATCTGTTTGACTTCCGAAAACGGTCAAAAACCCAGGCGCGGCTTCTGATTGGCTGCGGGAGCGTCCTGCACTCAATCAGAAGTCGCGGAAGCCATGTTGGACATTTGGCTTCCAAAAAACGTTCGCAAACCAGAACCCTCACTTCTGGGTTTGTGGCGTTCAGGAACCAAAACAGATGAGTACCAAGGTGTTCGACAACCAAGGTATGACTGTATTTGTACCCCGCCCATCTGTTTGGGTTGCGTCAGCCACTCTGGGCTGCTTCCAGCATATACAAAAACAATCCCTCTTAAGTCTTTTCAGCCCTTATCAGAACTGTTTGAGTTGTTCTATGATTTGAGGCTCCATTTCTGACTGATTATCCCCCTCCGTTCCAGCAGGTGATGAATGGGACAGCGAGGAAAAGGGAGACTCTCCCAGGATGTCTCTGGAAAGAGACACATGTGAGAAGAGGGAACAGCAGAGAAGGAAAACCGAAGCAAATCAGAAGATGAGGGGAAAAGCCTCTGCCTCTCAGGACACTGACTGCCACGAAATCACAGCTCAGGAAGAAGTGGATGAGAGACAGGAAAAGAACAGCCCTTCCATGCTGAGGGAAACAGAGGAGAAACCATATCAGTGCTTGGAGTGTGGAAAGAGCTTCCATTTCAGTTCCGACCTGACTTGCCATTTCAGAACCCATACGGAGGAGAAGCCATATGTAAGCCTAGAGTATGGAAAGGGCTTTAGTGTGACAACAGGCCTCATGGGCCATCAAAGTATCGACACAGAAGAGAAACCATATAAATGCCTGGACTGTGGAGAGAGTTTCTGTTTGATCCACTCGGTGGAGGAACCATATCAGTGCTTGGAGTATGGAAAGAGCTTCACGGAGAATTCAAATCTCACTTCCCACCAAAGAACCCATGTGAACGACAGATGCCTGGAGCGTGGAAAGACTTTCGGTTCGAATGCAGAACTGTCTTCCCACCGAACAACCCACAAAGGGGAGAAACCATATAAATGCTTGGAATGTGGAAGGAGCTTCAGCGGCAGAACAGCCCTCGTCTCCCATCAGACGACTCACACAGGGGAGAAACCATTTAAGTGCACCGAGTGTGGAAAGAGCTTCAGTCAGAAGGTAAACCTCACTTCTCATCAGAGAACCCACACAGGGGACAGGCCGTACAAATGCTTGGAGTGTGGGAAGAGCTTCCATTTCAGTTCCAACCTTACTTGCCACCAAAGAGTTCACACAGGGGAGAAGCCGTATGGATGCCTGGAATGTGGAAAGTGCTTCAGCGGGAGAACAGGCCTCATTGCTCATCGAAGTATTCACACAGGCGTGAGACCATATAAATGCCTGGAGTGTGGAAAGAGCTTCAGTCAGAAGGTGAATCTCAATACTCATCAGAGAACCCACACAGGGGACAGACCATATAAATGCTTTGAGTGTGGAAAGAGCTTCCGTTCAAGTCCGGAACTTTCTTCCCATCAAACAACTCACACAGGGGAGAAACCCTACCAGTGCTTGCAATGTGGAAAGTGCTTCAGCGTAAGAACAGGCCTCATTGCCCATCAAACAACTCACACAGGAGAGAAACCGTATCAGTGCTACGAGTGTGGAAAGAGCTTCAGCCAAAAGGTAAATCTTGCTTCTCACCAGAGAACCCACACAGGGGACAGGCCATATCAATGCTTGGAGTGTGGGAAGAGCTTCCATTTCAGTTCTAACCTTACTTGTCATCAGAGAGTTCACACAGGGGAGAAGCCATATGGATGCTTGGAGTGTGGAAAGAGTTTCAGTGGGAAAACAGGTCTCATTGCTCATCAAAGAATTCACACAGGAGAGAAACCGTACCAGTGCTTGGAGTGTGGAAAGAGTTTCATTCAAAAGGTGAATCTCACTTCTCATCAAAGAATTCACACAGGAGAGAAGCCATATAAATGTTTGGAGTGTGGAAAGAGTTTCCGTTCAAGTCCGGAACTTTCTTCCCATCAAACAACTCACACAGGGGAGAAACCATATAATTGTTTGGAGTGTGGAAAGAGTTTCAGTCGAAGCCCAAACCTTGCTTCTCATCAGAGAATTCACACAGGGGAGAAACCCTATGAATGCTTAGAGTGCGGAAAGAGCTTCAGTAGGAGCACATACCTCTCTTCTCATCAAAAAAATCATGTGGGGGAGAAGCCCTATAAATGTTCAGACTGTGGCATGACATTTTCTGTTAAATCAAGCCTTGCTTCTCATCAACGAATTCACACGGGGGAGAAACCCTACCAGTGCTTGGAGTGTGGAAAGAGCTTCATTCAGCGTGGAATCCTGACTACCCATCAAAGAACTCATACAGGGGAGAAACCGTATAAATGCATGGAATGTGGAAGGAGCTTCATTCAACGCGGAATCCTGACTAAACATCAAATGACTCACTCTCGTGATGAAATATTAATGCACGGCATGTGGAAAGGGTTTCAGTAGAAGCATGCGTCTTACTTTCCATTAAAGAATTCACACTGGGGAGAAGCTATATAAATGTTTGGGATGCGGGAAGAGCTTCTGCGTATGCAGGCACACCTGTGCACAGAATCCACAAAGCGGAGAACGCTATAAGTGAAGCATGGGAAAATCTTAAGCACGTGTCTGGGCATCCAATAAGTCGTACTAGGAAGAATTCATTAAAAACTTTTATGGAGTGTTGAAAGGTTCTTTGTGGGAAGACTTAAGATGATCCCTGCTGGGTCAGAACAGTAGGAAACGTAATAAGCAGGGTGTGAGGTCAACACCCTCTCCCACTTCTGTTCCCGAGTGACGAGGATTCAGATGCACGCTGCCTCTGATTCTGAAGGCAATATATATCCATCATGAATGGTAGCCATTAGCAGTCTTATCCTCGACACATTTGTCTAATTGTACTACATCTTGTGGCAGTGAATTCTGTAGTTTAGCTATGTGCTGTGTGAAGAAGGTCTTCCTTACCTGTCCCGGATTTTCTACCGTTCACCTTCATTAGATGATAATAGAACTGTAGCTTTGGAAGGAACAACTTCTTGCAATATAGGAAGAACTGTGAAGGAATCCTTGACCACCCAACCTAGTTTAAAAATATCCTTCTTACCATCAGAATGACAATTGCAACTGACTACTCGCCCTCTACCTTCAGGTCCCAGGGCGGGTAACAACTAAAACACAAAATTAAAAACAATTTAAAACGACTTAGGGTGGGTCCTAAAAATATACATCTATAGCGTCAGAAGCAGTAAGAGGCGCATCTTCAGCGTTTGTGAAAACGAAGGTGCCAGTTATGTCTCTGTGGGGAGTTTCACAATTTAAGGGCTGCCATAGAGAAGGCCCTCTTACAGCTACAAGATGGTATAGTGTAATGGAAATAACTTAGGGTTGATATATGTCTGGAATTTGGCCGCCGGCAACGGTAACCGGGCGGAAAGCACTGACATGTCCGGGAAAATCCGGAAGTGTCGATTTTTAGAAGGATCTTTAGAAAGGAAGTTTTAGAGCTCAACGACTTTGGCCACAACTTTAAAAAAAAAAATAGCTCAACAATTTTTGTGTCTGGATTGTCACTTTTTGAAATACGGCACCCCTAAATAAATGCATGGGTGGGTAAGCCTGTTCTTTTCCTCTGAGGAGGCTGAAGAAAGGGGTTAGCTGAAATTTACATCTTGAAGCCGGCCAGAACCTGCATGATTTGAGGAAAGCAGCCTTGAGAAAGAACAAAATGTTAAATATAAGGAAATTGCCCAAAGCAGGGCTGCTAAGGGGTGTGGCTGAAGAGGTTTGGACCAGGAAGAGTTCTGAGGGGCTGGATTTGGCCCCCGGGGCTAAGGACCCTATGCCTGCTCTGCTGGGTTGAGGTCGAGATGAGTTTATCTGAGAGATCGTCTTACCCCATATATAACCATTGACCACTTTGATCTGCGGAGCTGGTGCTGTGGCAAGTGCCACATAATAGTCATTCCACATTTGTAAAAAATAAAATGTATTTTACCATGGCAGCACCCACACTTTGGAACTCCCTGCCGATTGACATCGGGCAGCTGCCGTCCCTGTACCCTTTTCGTCAGCTGTTGAAAACATTTTTTGTTTAGGCAAGCCTATCCAGATAATGTGTTTTAATCTGTGTTTTAGCATATCGTTGAATTTAATTGTTTTTCGAATGTTTAAAATAGTTGTTTTTAACAGATAATTCCGTTGTTTGATTCTTTTTTTAAATTGCTTTGAGTGGTTTGTTTTTTTTAAATAATAACAATCAAGGGTTTGATTGGCATCCGTCAGCCAATGGAGGACTGCGCCTTTGGTGATGAAGTCAAACCGTTGAAGAGTTACGGCACCTGCTGTGGCTATAGAGACCGATACAGGTGAGATGTTTCGTTGCAGCTTGGGAAGATGGAGGCGTCCGGCTGTGTAGCTGCAGATGCACCGAGGCATTTATTCTCTCTGTGCTCGTCCCACCAGTCCTTCTTCCTGTGGTTACTGCTATGGAGGCACAATCGAGCAGTATATAAAAAGGGTTAGCTTCCTTTTTTAAAAAAATATTGTAAGCCACTTTCAGTTCTTAATATAAACAAGAGTGGGATGCGCGTACAGTCATACCTTGGATCTCAAACGCCTTGGCTCCCAAACAAATTGACTTTCGAATAATCAAAACCCGGGGGTGAGGGTTTCGGTGTTTGAACAATTTTCAGAAGCTGAACGTCCGGCGTGGCTTCTGATTGGCTGCAAGCTTTGCTTCTCATCGCTTTCCTCCCAAGAAGCAGGCATCTTTTAATTTCGTGACTGCTGTCACCATCTGCAGTGATCATGGAGCCCAAGAAAGTAAAATCTCTCACTGCCTCCATTTCTTCCCCTTCTACTTGCCAGGAGGTGATGGGACCAGTGGCCATGATCTTCGTTTTTTTGATGTTGAGCTTCAGACCATATTTTGTGCTCTCCTCTTTCACCCTCATTAAAAGGTTCTTTAATTCCTCCTCACTTCCTGCCATCAAGGTTGTGTCATCTGCATATCTGAGGTTGCTGATATTTCTTCTGGCAATCTTAATTCCGGTTTGGGATTCATCCAGCCCAGCCTTTCACATGATGAATTTTGCATATAAGTTAAATAAGCAGGGAGACTGTCATACTCCTTTCCCAATTTTGAACCAATCAGTTATTCCATATCCAGTTTTAACTGTAGCTTCTTGGCCCACATAGAGATTTCTCAGGAGACAGATGAGGTGATCAGGCACTCCCATTTCTTTAAGAACTTGCCATAGTTTGCTGTGGTCGACACAGTCAAAGGCTTTTGCATAGTCAATGAAGCAGAAGTAGATGTCTTTCTGGAACTCTCTAGCTTTCTCCATAATACAGCGCATGTTTGCAATTTGGTCTCTGGTTCCTCTGCCCCTTTGAAATCCAGCTTGCACTTCTGGGAGTTCTCGGTCCACATACTGCTTAAGCCTGCCTTGTAGAATTTTAAGCATAACCTTGCTAGCGTGTGAAATGGGTGCAATTGTGCAGTAGTTGGAGCATTCTTTGGCACTGCCCTTCTTTGGGATTTTGAGTTTTCCAAACTTGCTGGCATATTGAGTGTAGCACCTTAACAGCATCTTTTAAATAGTTCAGCTGGAATATCATCGCTTCCACTGGCCTTGTTATTAGCAGTGCTTTCTAAGGCCCATTTGACTTCACTCTCCAGGATGTCTGGCTCAACAGAGGTTGAATGGGCTTCCATCAGGGATTTTTTAATCTGTGATTCCTGCATTGCAGAGGGTTGAGCTAGATGACCCTTGGGGTCCCTTCCAATTCTTATGATTCTGAGAAAAAGCACACACAAAAACCCATAAAAGAAACTAGGCCAGTTCTGCTAGGAAGGGCCCGATCAGGATATCTGATGTGGGGAGCACATTCATTGCAGGTGCTGAGACAGGCAGTACAGTGCAGTGGTTAGAATATTGATTGAGGCCCAGGGGGACCAGGGTTCAAATCCTCCCTCACTGGGTGATAATGGGCAATTCACAGTCTCTCCCCCCCTAACCTACCTCACAATAATGTTGTGAGGGTAAAATGGAAGAGGTGTGGGTGGGAGACCAACGTCAGCCACCTTGACCTCCTTGGTGGGAAGCAGGGCAGTTTAGTTTAGAAAATGTAAGGAGCATAAGGATGGATGAAAACATAAAAGGAATTCCAGGAGGGTGCAAATCATATAAATTGAAAGCATTTGCGGACGACCTGTTCATAACTCTGGAAGAACCCCTGGAATATATTCCAAGGGTGCTAGGGAAAAAATGATAATTTTGGCATAAAAGTTGAATAAAAACAAAAGTATTACTGAAGAATATGTCAGAACAAAAGAAAAATGAATTTAAGTCAAAAACAGACCTAGTGATAGAAAAGAAAGTGAAATATCTAGGGGTGTGGTTAACAACTAGAAATATAAATATTTTTAAATAGAACTATTTAAAGGTCTGGAATGAAGTTAAAAGGGATATGGAGATATGGGGAAAGATAAACTTATCATTGTGGGGAAGGGTCTCTCTGATAAAAATGAATGTATTGAAAATAATCTTGTTTTTATTCCAATCAATACCCACGGTCAGAGGAGTGGAACACTTTAAGCAATGGAAAAAGGATATTTCTAAATTTATCTGACGGGGGGGGGAGGGACGGGACCTAGAATAAAATATAAATTATTAACAGGTTTAAAACAAAGAGGTGGATTCTCCCTGCTGGCTTTAAAGTTATATTATGAAGCGTCCTGTCTCTGCTGGCTGTGAGAATGGATACAGTTAAACAATACTGAGGTATTAGATCTGGAAGGACATGATAATAGGTTTGGTTGGCATGCTTACTTATGGTATGAGAAAACAAAGGTACACAAGGGATTCCTGAACCACATTATAGGGAAATCAATTTACCAAGTATGGGACAAATATAAGTATTTATTAGAGAACAGACACCTTTGTGGCTTTCCCCATTGGAAGCCATATCTGTAAAAAAGGTAAACATGAATGGAAATTGGGCAACAAAGAAAGATCTGCTAACAGAAGTAGACTACAAATTAAAGGTGAAAGAATATGAGGATATAAAAGCTCTGTTAACAGATTGGTTACAATATTACCAATTAAATGACATATTCAGAGGTGACAAAGAGCAGCGGCGTAGTGTGGGTTATCAGCACCCGGGGCAAGGCAAGTAATTTGCACCCCCTAACCCGGGGCAAGGCAAGTACAGTAATTTACTCTCCCAAGCAGCAGCAGCAGCGAGGCTTCTCTTTCCCCCGCGCTCTCCTGGAGCTGCCTCTTTTCTTTCCTTTTTTCCCTTTCTCCAAGGCTTTTCGCTTTCTCTCCTTAATTGATTCCTCCTCCACACCGCAGCGTTTCCTGGCTGCTCCCCCCC